ATGGGGCTTAGAGCCCTCGGCAACCAGACCCTGAGCGGGAGGGTCAACTTTCTTGGGCGTTTCACTATCGATCTAGTTTCTACTTCCTTCTTGTTCTTTTTGGCTTTTTTTTTTTTAATTACATTCATTCCTCATTTTTAAAGTTATCCTTGGGTTTGCTATACCCAGGATACAGCTGCCGTTCCCGCTCAGCGCCCAGGGGCTTGTGGGTAGATGCCAGTGTGTTTTATTCATTGTCCTGAAAACGAACATGTCACTTCCTTTGCAGTGGCTCTGCAGTGAGCGTGAGGAATCGGATCAACCCCTCTGACTCAGGGAAAGGCGGAGCCAAGGAAAGAATTGTTTTCATTATTTTGGACAAGCCCCGGAACGGCCTCTAAGCGCCCACCTTGCACATTGCTGGAGTGGGGTGTGCTGACTGCTGCTTATTTTTCAAGTCGTTTTGAGAGATTTGAATGGCTCAGGTTAGTTTGGTTTTCAGTGACCCACCTGTTTCTGACGCAATTGTTTAAATATATGTGCTGTATACACTAGTACTAGTATAACAGAGTAACGTTGATTTACGGATTTCACTCAACCAAAATTCAGAGGTGGAATTAGGTTGCCCTAATTTCCTTCGCTAAAATAGAAGTGATCATTTTGCTATCCTCTTAGTCAATGAGTTATAATTGAATCTTATTTTGAATTTTACTATCTCTTAAAAAAAATTTTATGGGAATCCTGTCACTCAAGAATAAGTTAGAAAAGAAAAAAAGAGAATAAGTTAGAAAAAGACAGTGACTTCCGTGTAAACAATGATTGCTCAGGTGTCAGGGAGTTTGAGTGCAGAGGCTTGCTGAAAAGGGGGTGTTTGCATCTCCCCTGTAAAGGCCCCATCTTGTGGAAGTGGTTTGATTAAAGAAGAAACTTCGTCCTAAGATTTCCAGTTGGAGGTGTTTTGAGTTGAGAAAATCTACAATAAAAGAAGGGTAATATGCTAATTAGACTGGACAGCCAAATGATCTTCTGGATGTCATTCCGGACGTCCTTCCAGATAAAGCCGCAGTGGCGGGGGCTGAGGCAGAGGCGGTTAGGGGCGATTAGGCAGGCAGGCAGGCAGAGGGGTTAGGGGCGATCAGGCAGGCAGGCAAGCAGTTAGGGGCGATCAGGCAGGCAGGTTAGCGGTTAGTGGTGATCAGGCAGGCAGGCGAGCATCTAGGAGCCAGCAGTCCTGGAATGCAAGAGGGATGTCCCCCTAGGGGTCCCAGATTGTGAGTGGGTGCAGGCCAGGCTGAGGGACCCCCCCCCCATGCATGAATTTCGTGCACCAGACCTCTAGTATTAACATAATAAGTTGATATCTTTTTATGTTAGAATTCTATTTATAAAGACTACTACTTCACAATTATTTGTTCTGAAATAATAGGTTTTCCTTTTAGAAGTACTGAAAATTTAAGTATTTTAATAACACATAAATGTTTCTGATTTTACATTGTTTTTGTTTCTCTTTTAAAATCAGATGTTGAACAGTGATGTTTCTGACCATAGGCTAAATGTGGAAGCCATAATTAAAAATATTAATACAATTTCTTTGCAATTGAAGAAAATGAAAGGTAAGTATGGAATCACTAAACTAAAATGTTTGCATGTCATTGTTATAAAATAAATAGTAGAGCCATTTTTGCTTCTGTTGAGGTGTTAGCGAATTTTGCCCACTATTTAGGACTTTTCTGTTTCTTAAGAAATGCGTACATTATAATATGAACTAGATCTCTAAAGATGAATTATGTTTAAGCATTGATCTAGGAGTTAGCCAATTTGAATTCCCATCCTTGACACTAACAAGCTTATGATATTGTCTAACCTCTCTAAATTACTGCCTTTTCTTCCTTTCATCAAACTATTACATGACAGTGTCACATTCTACAAAATTCACTGTCTTTATCCATTAATCCTTACTAAGCCCCTAAGGTTCCTTACAAATTAAAAATTAGAAGTTTGTGAGTTAAGGGCTCTTCATTTTAAACAGACTCACAGAGTTGGATTAGACCTCGTGGGGCACAATGTTTGGGCACTCACCTCACAGATGTATTCTGTTTTCCCCCAGCATGTGAACTCTCCATGAATGAACATTTCTAGGGGTGATCTATCCCTGACCAAACATTCCCTCCAGTCACCCTGTTCCATTTTAGGATAGCTGCTCCTTACGGACTAGCTGCAATCTCTTCCCCATTCTTTCACCTGCGGGTCCTACTTCTAACCATGAAAGCTGCATTGATTATGTAGTTCTTTTGACAACTCTTGGATATTTGGAGATAGCCTTTGTGTCAGTTATAGGCCTTCAGCTACGTGTAAAAAAATACCAACTTAACATGCTTATAAGTAAGGAAAATAGCAAGAAGATCCACGGTGGGGCAGCCTACAGTTGCTTCAGAGTTTTAGAAACTGGATACTGGGTTCTTCCTCTGTTTTTTCTCTGTTATATTCACTCTGTTCGTCAGTCCTCGTGGTCATTACCTGCAGACTTGGCCAGACACTACCTCTACCTCTTCTCTTTATGTAAGCCTTTCCCTGATCCCTCCAGCACATTTCCCCTTTCCTGTCATTGACCAGATATGCATCAAAGGCAACTGTCTGCAGCAGCTGCTGCCAAGGGGAAGGGAACTGCCAAGACCAGTGTGGACCAGTCAGAACTTACTGCTGAGGCTGAGGCAGAGAGACCACCACACCTGGAGGCAGAGTGTGCCACCAGGAAGAGCAAGGTGGCTGTTAGTTAGGACCAGATAGTGAGTGTTGTTACGCTATTTCTGCCTGTTCCTCCCAGAGCAGCATTTCCCAGACTTTGCTCTGTGAACCCTGCTGTCCTAGAGATGTTAATAGATGGGTGCAGTAACAATGGATTCCACATCCTCCTGGGACACATTAGCAAAGGCACCGAGGAGTCCGATGTAAAGAAATCTGGTTAGCTTTGCTTAATTCATCTCTAAAACCAATCTCAACTTACAGCGAGGATTATCTCCTAACATGTAAATATGCTGAAAACTCCCATTGGTTCACTGCTGTCCTCCTCGAATGAACTATAAGACCTCTTGAGACCAGGCCCCAGCCCATCCAATCTCTCGTCTCGTTATCTCTCCCCTGCATGTGCTGCGCTCCTACCATGCTGACCTGTGTGCATCTCTACACCAGATATGCTTTTTTTTGTATCTGTATTTTAACACATGCATCTCCTTCTGAAATGCCCACTGCTGCCCACCCCCACACACACACCTCCACTCCACCAGGTTAACTGCTACTTATTAAACTGTGTTAGTCAAGGCTACTTAGGTTGGAAAACTTCCTTTAAGCCAGCGTGTTACCTCTTCTACCTTTTCATACCATCTATCACGCTGTGTTGTAATTGCATGTTTACTTCCTTTCCCTCTCCCTGCTCAACTGGAAGCTTTTTAAAGGTATTCCTAGCAGTTAACAGTGCCTTGATATAATAGCCTCTTGGAAAATGTTTACTTAATGAATAATTGGTTCTGGATGCTTGCACTTTTAAAAAATTCCTCCCAAACTCGATTATCTAACTGTTCTAGACAATCCTTTCATGAAGTAAATTAGAAATAATAAATATGCTATACATGTCCTGAAAAGTTGTGGGGTAGGTCAGGCAGTTAGGGTACAAGGGGCTTTTGTAGACGTGTAGGACGGTAGACTTCTGGTAAACATTGAAGATTAAATGAACACTCTGTTTACCCCACTCTCCCCCAAAATAATAATGTCAATAAATAATCATAACATTTATCGTAATCCAGATATCCTTCTAAGAGCTTTATATAAGTGGACTCAGTTGTCATAACAACCCTGTGTGATAAGAAATATTGTCATTGGCATTTATAGGTATAGAAACAGACATGGAGACATTAACTAACTTTCCCGAGGACAGATATCTAATCATTGGTAGATCTGAGAGTTAAAGTGATGTCAAACAGGCAAAAATTCATAAGACAAAGAGCTCTCAAAAAGTGTTACCTACAAAACAGAAAGCAAATGGAAACAAACAGAGACGTTTAAACTCTAAAGCCCAAAAATCTAAAGTATGAACTGGCTGGGTAAAGCAAAGAAATAGCCCAAAGACTCAACACATGGTTGTACAGAATCCTCTGGAAGTAGTGGGGGAGGTGGAGCTAAGAACAGGAGAACTGGTTAAATGTTTAAGAAGTCATAGGCCCCTAAGGTCTCTTCCTCCTCAATGGAACTGGGCAGCTGTTTCTCTGTGACAGAGACGCGAGGTTTATTCCTTGAGAGGGTAAAACCAGGGATCCCTGGCCTGCAGCCACCGGTCACAAGCCGAGGGGGAGAGTACTGTACTAAAAATGAGGGTATTAAGACCAAATTGACCTCTAGCTTTCTCTTCCCACTTGCCTATAAAACATCAGAAGCCTGATTTATACCCTCAAGCAGATTTTTCTTTCAGGAATATGACCAGCCTAAGAGAAAAGACCTAAAAATACTGATAGCACAGGTTTCCCCACAAACCACCCAGTCAGACCAGCCCACAATACCACTTACCACGGCAAAGAGCTTCTGTTGTCTTTATAGTGCCACGGTCTCAAATATGAGCAAACAGCTGTGGCACGGACATTGGAGGAAAGCATCTACTATGAAAAGCAGAGACAGAACCAATAAATAGGTTCAATCAAGGAGGAAGAAAACCAAATTATGAAGGGAAATGAGAACTCCAAGAAACTATAATATCCACAGAAGAGATGCTATGTCTATGAAAAGGAACATGAAACTACAAAAAATATTTAGAGAACAGAAGGGAGCTCTTGGAAATTTAAAAATGCGATAATAGAAATAGATCTGTAGAGGGTTAAAGATAAAAATGTAGAAAATACCCTAGAGTATAAAGAAAAAAAGAAGAAGAAAGAAAGAAAGTTTTAGGGGGGAAATGACAAACCGGCAAAATGAAGTCCAATATCCAGTAAATAGGGGTGTTAGAACTTAGACAATGGACGAGGAGAAATTCATTAAAGAAATAGTCTGAGGAACTTCCAGAGTTGAAGGGTATGAGTTTTTACAATGAAACAGCCCAACACAATGGATGGAAATCAATGCACACCAAAATACAGTACTGTGAGGCTTCAGAACACTGGGAGAACAAAAGATCCTCGAAGCTTCTAAAGAGAAACAAGAGAAGCTTGACAATTCTCAATAGTGACACTGGAAGCTGGAAGAAAATGCAGCAGTGCCCTTGGAAATCTGAAGAAACATGATTTCCAACCTAGATTTTTATATTCAGTGACTCCATTAAGCATTGGTGTAGAGAGAGAACTTTTCAGACATATAGAAGTTACTAAGGTTGTATTTCACCAAACAAGGATGCAGACCAAAAAGAGAAAGACATGAGATTCTGGAAAAAGGATGCTCCACATGAGGGAGGGTGAAAGGAGTCCCTAGGATAATGGTGAAGGGAGCGCCCAGAATGTGAGCTGTGCAGCAGTCCTGGAGGGCATCGGTCCAGGCTAGAGCAGGTCAGAAGGCTCTGGAGAGGAGAGACTTTCAACTGTAGAGTAGTTAAGTGCTTGACTGAACTGGGAGAGGAGATTTACCCAACTGGGGGGAATTTGAGATATGTTCATGATAATTAAGCAACAAAAAAAGAAATTAACTGTGGCTGGGTGGTAGCTTAAAGGAAGGGAAATGTCATATTACAAGACTCAGCTGTGAAGAATCCTATGTAATAAAAGCATAATATGCAAATTGACTGAACTGCAGAATGACGGGGGGCCAGCTGGGCAGGTGGTGCCAGGCCAGCCAAAGCGAGTGCCAGCCAGCAGAGGGAGGGGACGGCAGTTGGGGGGAGGGGGA